ACATGTGATTGATGGTTGTCGCGCAGCGACAGCACTTTTGTGTAGCGTATTGCTTTTTAACAGCCTCCTCGCTATCATCAATACGCCTTAGCTGACGGTGAGACGCACATCTCATCTAATATACCACATTACTCAAAAGATGCTAAAAAATACTAAAAAAGTTCAGAAAGCAAATAATAGAATGCTGTCATATTATGCATTTGGCATGAGATCGCGTGAAATCGCAAGCCACAACCAAAGAGGATAAACTCTGGCTACTTGACACTTTGCATGGAGAGCTATTCACAACCAATTAAACGGTCGCAGCACTGGGCTATGTACTTCGAAAAGCAAGCTGATCGGCGAGAATTACAAGTTTCCTCGCTCGCCAATGATCGCTCTGCTCCCTGCACCGTCTTTTTGGGTCCGCTCACACGCGGTACTCTGACGTGAAGTGAGATTGTCGAGATTGTATACGGCCGCAGGGCTTGCTCCATTCTTCTTCAACTCTTGGGTCTGCACCAATGATGAGAAACAAGGTTTATTAGCGAAGCTGTGGAAGTAGAAAACATTCCCCACGGACTGCAGCTACTCCATTATTGTCCCGATTTTCAAGGGGGCTGATTTTCGGGATGTGGCAATCGTCGTGGGGCCAGTATGTTCGCCGTCGCCTCAAAGTTACTTGCCTTTGTTGTTCTGCATAGATTTACAAAAAGAAAAAAAGAAAATGGTATCAGCAATACGCCCGTTCGCAGTACCGACGCTTCGCTTCCGCGCAACTACCAACAGTCGCGTGTGGGTTATGGATACTCTGAGGGTCGCCCGGTCCTGTACGCAGGCCCAAACCCGCGCCGTCAGATTGCAAGACAGAATTGTCATCCTTTAGGCTACGAGCCGGCCATAGATTTACTGGCGCTCATAAAAGCTCTATTGGTAGTGCGTAAGACGGTTTCATCGAAATTGGGAATGTATTGACCACATCTTCATTTTACCTCAGTCATAAGGGCACCGCCACCTATATTGGCGGTGCTTTCTCATCGGTGGACCAGTGTTTAAAACTTTTTGTTTATGTATATGTATGTATGTATGTATAACCGGGAGCTACGTAAATGTTACATGAACGCTTTACGCCCGTACTTCGGACGGGCTCATGGCAAATTGTCACTGCTCTTTAAGATTTCCAGTGGTGTGAGGTAAGGATGCCTGTTACCTTTACACCTTAACTTCGCTATTGATGAAATTATGTAGACGGTGTTCACCAGATACGAGTTCTAATATGCTCTTGGTCTATGCTGATGATATTGCCCACGTCGATGATGGCTTATAAACATACCAAGCAGCACTAGCTCTGACTGTCAATCGCTTCTGACCGCATTTTGTGCCTTCGGAATGCAACTCAGTCTTAAGGATTAACAGGGACTAGCCCCTGCGCTGTTCTTAGCTGAAAATGAGCTAGAAGTCCTTCAGAAATCTTGCTACCTAAGCATTTATATCGACGCCTGTGGAACAGATGGGCTCACAAGCATTGTATCAACATCGAGAGGCGTTTTCGCCGATCTTCACAGATTATAATGCCGGCGCAACATTACGTTTGCCCTATAGGTTACAGTCTATACTGATAATGTGCGGTTGCCAAACTGCTCCCTCAGATCGGCAAACAAAGTTGCCCGTTGCGGCTGAATTTTGGCTCATATCTAGAGAAAATACCACATGAGGAACTAGCCTTTTCACCGTATTGTTTATTGCGCCAGAAAATCGAGTGAACTGCTCTAAACCACTATTTTTCGCACCTAAGCTTGAAGGCTGGGTACTACGCTACACATGCAACGCAACGTATGAACTGAGCAATCAGTCACCGGCTCCCAATGGGCGCGATTGCCTGAATTCGCTCCGATGCGTTGTGGGCAGGCTAATTAGCCAAAGACTCGGGATGGTGTCCCCTAAGTCAACACCCTACTTCGACTTGGGTAACCGAGTAGTATCTCACCCTCTGACCAAACCATGGACTTTAATGTGTTGTGTTGTGTTTTCTTTTACAATTTCTATACCTTCTTTTGAGTCCCATGGTTTCTGATGGCTCTTGTATATTCATAGACTGTTGCTAAATAATACATGCAGCATACCGACTCCCACAACATGCCTGTGTGTAGGGTGTGGATAGATGCAATGATCATGCCGGCCGATAACTTGGTTAAGTAGAATGAAGGCTCTCACTCCCAAGTTGCTTCAGTATATGTCTGTTGATTCCCTGGTTGGGCTTTTGCATCTCTGTACGTGTTTCGCACCTCTGCTCAACGTGTAAATTGATAATGATAAGTTTCAGTTTGGTGACGAAACAACCAGATGCGGCGTAGTGTGGCATTCATTCTCCACAACCATGCCTGTGTTCCAGCTTGCAGTGGGCAGAGTTGACTAGAGGACACAAATTTCCCCTAATTTTAAGCACATTATTACCTCTGTTTGATGCCCCTATATGTCAAGGAAGCACTACGCCCTTCTCATTTGTTTTACTTCACATACCGACCGGCACTTCCTAGGCTTCAAATTGATTGGTTGATTGGGGTTAACTCATCTCTGTTCGGGATTAATGCTGGGCGCAGAATTGGCTTCCACTTTGGCTTTTGCTATCATCTGCGTTATCCGGTTGATCTGCATCTTCGACTCGTTGTTGTGGGCTGGCGCACACTTTGTACGGCTCAGTAGCGACTTTTTACATTGTCATTATGTGGTCTCATTATTTTCCGCCATCTACCTATTCCTTATTGATTTCTGTTCGCCCTATGTGCTATTCCTGTCGGTCTGTTCTGTCAGGGTGGATTGTTCTATGCTTCGATTTCAAAGTTATATTCCTCGGAATGTTCTTAATATGGTCGGCCCACCCGTAGCCGAAACGACAAGACGTCTGCCTAGTAATCCGAGTTCGCGGGTTCGAGCCTGCGTAGATGACCGGGCGACCCTCACAGTGTCCTTAGCACTCGCACTACTAGTGATAGTTGCGTGGCAGCGAAGCGTTGACACGACGTCATCATCATTTATCATTATACACGCTAGCTGCAGGTGGAAAACACCTCAGATATGGTGCCGCAATACAAAAGAAAAAAATAAGTGAAACAGTGGCACGCCGACTGCGTCACCAGTAACGGATGGACATCATTCCGAAGAGCTAATCGCCGTCTCTTGTGCCGCAAAAGTCATATATTGCCTATTAATTGCGATTGTGCTGGGGGGTAGAGGCTAAGTGGAGGGGGATGGACAAAGGAACTCGCAACACAGACGCCATTGTGGTCTAAACCTAGCCATGTCAACACGTGTATGCAACCAAACGTGTTGATCGTCCTTCGGTCCCCTACCATGCAGCCGAGAGGCTCCAACCGAGGCCAACTTCGAAGTAAGGGCCTTCATTCCTCTTGACCGTCATCGCTTGGCCACGACTCCACTTCTTCCATCCGCACCCCCGGCGCGCAAAAACACGCACTCGGGGAAGTCGGTGGGCTGGCATGCGCAATACGTGGCCCAGTTATCGGAGCCTGGTGCGTGAAATAACGGTGCTGAGCGGTTCGCTTTTTCTTCCTGCGTCATAAACAAGGCGTCGAACACGCTCATTGCTCACACGGTGTTCCCACCAGATATGAGCCAAACTGCGAAGGCACCGGTGGTCGAACGTAACTAGCTTCTTTATGTCGGCTGATCTAATGGGCCAAGTTTCACAACCGTACAGTAGGGTCGAACATACGGCTGCATTGTACACTCTACCCTTCAAGGAGAGAGTGATGTCGCGCGAGTGCCATAGGTGGCGAAGGTTAGCGAAAGCGCCTCGAGCTTTTGCTATGCGGTTTGTGAGCTCGTGTTCCATTCTAACGGTGCTGATGCAATTACCTAGGTAGTTGAATTTTCGAACGACTTCTAGCTGATCCCCACCAAGGGTCAGCGCAAGAGGCGGTCCCTGCCAATATTGAAGAGAATCTTTGTTCTTGGAAGGTGCAAAGCATAGTCCGAAACGGGTGCCAGCCAGTGCTAATCTGTCCAGTGCCGCTTGGCATTTTTGGGGCTGTCACAGATGAAGGTAATGTCGTCAGCATACTCCAAGTCAAGAAGTCGTTCATCTGGGAGCAGCTACACACCAGAAGTTGTGCCCTGTGAACACGATTTCTACGACTTCATCAATAGCGAAGTTGAAGAGGAAATGTGACAGCGAGCCTCCCTGTTTTACACAGCTGGTGATATTGAAGGGCGGCGACAGCTTGCTCTCACACGGCCCGAGCTAAACACTTAAAGCGCTCACATAATATTTACATATTTCTCGGGCACACCTTTCTTTAACAGACAGTCCCAAAGTGCATGTTGATCCACTGAATCGAAGGTACCTTTGATGTTGAGGAATAAGGCAACGATGGATCGCCAATATACGTGACGGTGCTTTAACAACTGACCTAATGTGAATATGTGGTCCATGCATCCCTGATCACGACGAAACCCGGCTTGCTCCTCACGAGTCTGTCTTTCACGGCCGCCAGTCAATCTGTGAAGGATTAATGAGGCAAGCAATTTGGAGGCGATGGGGATCAGACTGATTCCGCTATGGCTACCGCATTCCGAACGCGAGCCTCCTTTGAAGATTAGGACAATAACTGAGCACCTTTAGTCGGTTGGGACAGTTCCATGCTCCCACAATTTCACTAGTAATTCGTGTAAATCATCAACAAGAGTTGGGCCTCCGAATTTGAAGAGGGTTGAATGAAGATCACCTGGTCCCGCGGCTTTATTCAACTTTAACAGTCCAATCTCACGTTCGACTTCTGAGCGAGAGGGCGTTTCCAAAGGGACAGCCAAGGGAACAGGTCGATCACTGGCCGGTGAGGGATCTAACACCGGGGTCTAACCACCGCGTTCCACTTTTCTGGTAGAATCATCGGCGGCTAGTATAGCACATAACGTTTTTAAGGCTCTGCTAGAGCCCATCTCATTTTCTGTATTTCTACCTACTTCGTTCTCGCATCACCTGTTTTGTATATTCTTTGCAGGAAGTAATCATGATACTGGAGCACAGCAAGCAGGATTTCCACTCATTGATTGAAAAAATGAATTTATTGCGTGAGTACGAACGCGCGGACGACCAAAATAAGTGAGTTCTATTTTTCTACGCTAACTAATAGCAAATCCTTTTGTTGCTCTTGTGCACTCTGTTGTCGACAGTATATGAAACTGTATACCATAGCGTCGATTCATCCGCCTACTGAAATTAGATTAAATACGGCGCGTGATTTCGCACGGCCGGTCCAAACTCTTGGTCATCGTTACCACTCGGTACTGGTTTTCGCATAACCCACTTCATCTTGATATCAAACAGGCGTGGGACCCAGTGAGTTCTCATCATTAATGCCATCTCTATCATCACTTGTTCCGGGTGGCTTTACAGTAGTTATACGTGAAACTTTTCCATGACTCAAGGTATTTACCGTGTTGGTATCGCCCTCAGCAAACATGCTGGAAGCAGTCTATTCGACTGGATGCCGAGGAACGGCTGCATCCGTACAGTTCTACTTCAAACCTCTATTGGAATTAATATGCGACTTCTGAAACGTCCTTAATGGAATTGGATTTCAGAGGCATCGACCATTTTAATCAAAACGCGGAAACATGTGCCAATAGGTAGAGTTTCAGCGACCTTTGACAAGGAGTCTTCGAATCGACCTCAACTGTTGCTTGGTAACGGCACGTGTGATAGAGAAAGCCAGTGCTATTGAGAACAGCGGAGTGCTATTCAAGCTCATCCGGAACACTGGTACGAGGAAGCCATCGGTTAGTGAGACAATAGCCGAGAAAGATGGACGGTTGATCCATCCACCGCCACGTAGTCTATCCAGTTGGGCGGAACATTTTGAAGAACATGTCCACAGGCCTACTGCGATACTGCGGCTTGCCGAATCACCCAAGCCCACTTGGGAACTTGTCACACTTCCCACTTTTGAAAAGATTCGACATGATCTCGGAGTACTGAAGCGAAACTAAGCTGGAGCCAACGACCTTCCTCCATCCTTGCAGAAGGATGGAAGGGACTCCATGTTGACTGCATTTATTTCTCTATTCAACACGATTAGGGTCACTGAAGACGTGCTTTCAGACTATCAACTGTCAATTGTCGTGCCAGTCTTCAATAGGAGTTAGCATACTTTGTGCCAAAATCATCGAGGCATTATACTTATTGCCGTTGTCCACAAACTTCTCTTGCGTATTATTCTTCGACGATTTCCTGATGTTCGTAAAAGACGCATCGTTAAACGCCAGACTGGTTTCCTTCCTGGTAATATCTGTATCTAAGTGAGGTTCTTCGCAGCCAGTTTCCAAATCAGATAGTCGTCCACATGCCCGAAAAAGCACTGGACTGCAGTTTCAGCCTGTTGGGCATCGTCAGTAGTGCGCATCCATCGGATCCATCAGGATTCGAACCCATGACCACCAGCGGCTTGAACCGCCAGTCAGCAGCTTATGCCACTGGGTCACGGGGGACAGCTTCGGACCGTCATGATTTACAAGCTAACTGCGACATAGCGCGTCTTATCCTCCACCGCCATGCAAGTTACGAACGTTGCAGAGGACAGGGTTGGCCCCGAAAGACACGACGTCCACTAACATTAGCTATGTACGACATAGCATTTAGAAACTGTCAGGGCGGATATATTTTGCTGTACTCATGAGTAGGGGATTTTGATGTAATTGAGGTTCTTCGCAGCCAGTTTCCAAATCAGGTAGTCGTCCACATGCCCGGACTGCAGTTCCAGCCTGTTGGGCATCGTCAGTAGCTATATTTACCCCATATTTACTCTTCGCTAAGTGTTAGAACAGAAACACTTACAGACGACCGACTACGGTAGATTTCCTGGACTTGTAAGCGGCCTTCGACTCTTGCCTGCACCAGCTTGTAGCACTGTCTTTCCATTCTGAAGTCTACCGTGATCTCCGAGGCGGTGTAAGGGTCTACATGAAACTGTCTCTGGGGCCCCTCGATAAGCGGAGTTCACCAAGGTTGTCCCATAACTTTTTTCTTCAACTTTGCGATCGAATTGATCATCATTAACTCGGTACATTCAGACTCCACCAGAGTGGAAGTTCTGCCAGGTGACCGACTGGCAAACCTTGTGTGTGCGGGCGACGTAGCTCTTTTTGGGTTTTGGGTCTGACGCGTGGCTATGCAAACACTACTGCATAGGTTGGTGCGCAGCGCTGCGCGCTTCGGTATGTGCTTTGCTCATTCAAAGTGTTCGTTTACCTTATCTCTTTTTTACCTCTTTTGCTAACTCGAGTTGTTTCGGTGTGTATGTCTTTTCGCCCTGTCTCGACTTCCAGCATCTGAATAGATCGATTTGTGCATCGAACCAATGTGCTAAATCTGTTCAAACCTTCCCAACGCTTCTCAGCTCTGCCTTCACCATTCTGCTGTCGCCTTCAGTCCTGTGAATGTAATTGCCTGACGTGTATTGCCGAAAAGAAATCCCTTCGCAACCCCGATCTATTCTGTTTTTACCTATCCATGAGCATTATTTATGAATCCTAACCGCTTACATTGGCTGTGGCATTTCCTCCGCTTGCCCACTGACCGGCTTCCTCGGCGTGCATTATACATCTTGGCTGCACCAAGTTGGGCGAAACCTATAGGCGGCCAGTCGATGACGTGGAATAAAGAATTGAAGAAATTGTCTGCGATACTTATCCAGGCTGGTGCATGCCGTCTTCGTGGATGGGGCCCTTTTATAGTCCTCACCAGTGATTGTAGACATTATCAGGTATGACGCAGTCGCTTAGTTAATGGCGTTGCTGTATTTGGTTTCTTGAGTCTGTCTGTTAGCTTTCATCCCATCTTTATTAGTTTAACGCATCTCCTTCTGGATTCCATTTTCTTGCAGTTGCTATTTTACCGATGTAAGTCGTGGCAACCGGATCCACCGCACTTCGGTACCCGGATCATAGTTGTTTATTGGAACTGAACTGAATTGATCCATAGCTTCCGTCGGTCGCCGATGGCTATTTTACTAGTTAACCATTGCTCTTACACGGACAAACAGCTGCGGTTCAGAGTTGCTCCGTTTTCACAAATTTCACTCAGGATGGCTTTGTATAACATGACCTTGTACCGCCATAGTATGTTGACCTCCGAATACTCAGGGGTAGCGGCAACTTAACGACTTTCTCCGCTTCGAGCAGCCCATTTCATCGTATCACTCTTTTTCATCGTCGCCTTATTCATCAAGGGAACAATTTTTCTTCGTGTTTCATTCCCAGACCTAGTGCACTTGCTTGGGACGAGCGTACGACTTTACCTGATAAGCCGATTATGCGGCAAGTATTGGCTTCTGCTGCTATGGCCGCTGCTTCACCTCCATTGGACACTTTTATCTCTGTCCCGGCTCATTTGACTCTGGATGTGAATGGCCACGATTCTGATGGCAGTGGTAGCTGGCGATCGATTGTGAAGGTAGCACCCTCGAGAGCTGCAAACCATATGGGTTTTGGACCTCCATCAAGCGGCGCGACATCGTCTAACCCACTTGCTCATACTCCCTCTCTGAAGCTGCGTGACATACACCATTTATCTCATGTTCGTTCCGGTTCGGATCTAACCAACTCTGCTCTATCATCTCAGAGGGACGACGTTCTTGATGATACCATGGATGATGATATGATCGGTGCTGCTTTGGACGGTGAACTGGGTACCAACGTGTTGTATTCTGAAGACGAAGCTGATGACGCTGATAATGATGATGATGATGACACAGAGTTGGTCGATATTGCGCTTTCAGAGAGCAACGCTTCGGAACCAAAAAACTGCACCCGTTTTTCGCACTCCATACCGAATTCTTTTCTAGCTCGAAGGTCCCCACATGGTTTAGACGAAGACATTGAGGACCCAGAAGACAATACCATATCACGTGATTTACGGCAGATTGATGAGGTAATTCACTCTTTAACCCCTATTCCTTCCCTTAGTTAATTCTAATTTCTTAACTATGCTTTTTATACGATATGCAATTTATTTGTCCCGTTTGTTTTCGCTCTTTCAAATGCTTTATTTTCCAAACGAATTACTCATGGGATACAATGTAATGCCTTCACTTATTGTCCGCGATTCCATCTACTTTTATCCGCTTATGCCGGCCCGTAGCCTAAAGCTAACGAGCTTATCTTGTAATCTGACAGCGCTGGTTCGAGCTTGCGTATGGGCAGGGTGACCCTCGTAGTATCCTTAGCCCACTTGCGAACGGTAGTGATTACGCGGCAACAAAGCGTCGGTACTGCGTACCGGCGTACTGCTAGTGCCTTTCTTTCTTCTGCCTATGTTAACTTGTCCATTTTGTTGATGTTTGCAGGCTATTGCCACCGTCACAACCGCAGAACGCATGCTAACTAACCGGCTAGGCCGTGCGCAGTGCGCGGAGGCTGCCTTGCGCCGTCGTCTGTTGGCTGAGGACAAAACCACTAGCGCTCACTCTTCTTGTCAATGGCGTGGCCACAAGAAACTCGGCATGAAGTCGTCTAAAGTAGTTCGCAATGCGGAGCACGATGGGGACACTGTGGAGATGAACGTGAATCTATTAAAAGGAGGCGTTTTGTTGCTTCCGAATGACTCCGTGGAGGATCACTCAAATCTGCTTATTGTTAACCACACCATTAGCTCGGTTGACAGTGGCGAAAGTGATGTTGCTCGCGAAGTGGAAAGCGTCTTTTCCTCAAAAACGAATGAGTTCGCTGTCACTCCTTCAATTCGTCACTCCCGAGGCGCAACACAGTCACGACGTCGTCAGTGCTGCGCTTGTGCTTGCCACGAAACCATCACCTCTACCGCGTCGATGACTACTTCCAACGGAACCAGCCGCAGTCACAAATTCAAAACTCCCACCGTATGCGCTCACTCCAGTGGTCGTGTGGCTTCGAGCAACCTACCCGTTGGCCGTTCTCAAAATACATGCCCATTGCGGACTTTGTCGGATAACCGCGGCAGCTTTCCTCTTGAAATGCTCCGGCAAAGTAACATTGTTTACTACTCTCCTTGTGAGTCCAGCTTGTGTTACTTGGTGTACACTGTCCAATATAATTCAACGTTTCTCACCTTTCCATTTTTAACACTTTCTCTAGTAAGAGAGTGCACCGGTATTTTCCCTTATAAACACAAGCCATCCGTTTTTGTCAGTAGCTGTTTGAATCTTGATTTTTCTGTTACTTGTTAGCTGGTCCTGCTGTGTACAAGACACCCAGTACCCGTTTTAAAAGTCAGTTTACCTCATCCCCGTCGTATGTTTTCAACTGTTCCTATGCCACTCTTTTTCTCCAACAATCCGTTCAATTTGTCCTTTTTCGACTACGTCAGCTGGGCGTTCCAAGACAGCTTCAGATGATTGCCCAGTCTCGGAAGCCGCGCAACCTCTTAGTCCTCGCATGGACTCCACAACCATGCCAACCTCAGTCACGCACTGTTCAAATGATGTGAATGTGGGTAAACTTGTCTCCTCCAATCCTCATTACATGCGAGCGATGGTATCTCCGAGCATGGGCGTCACCGCTGTGGAGACCGCCAAAGGTTTGCTTTTCCTGTCCGAGATGAGCGCTAAATCTCGCACCCCTGGCCATGGGGTTCAGATGCACGAGAAGTTGTCTGCCCGTTCTGCTCGAAAGTGAGTGTGCGTTTTTGACTGTTCTGTGTGCTTCTTGCTCGGTGTACGAAGGGATCTGCTGTATGCTCCTCATGTCAACCACCATTCACCTCGGTTTCATTTCACCTTCTGTGCATGCGAGATGAAATCAATTCTCTATACGGTTCGCATGAACGTTATAATAAGGAAATTCGATGTTTTTGCTCCGGGCTATTTGCGTATTTCTTCACCGGATCCTTTGTTACAGCGTTGTCAATCTTTAAGCCCATTCGCCCCACGAAACGAATCTCCCACCTAACATCCGTGGTATTTTCGTTCATTGCCCGTCAACTGACTGAAACGTTTGATTCTATTTAAGGACAGGAGAAGAACTTCAGCTGTTGAGTCCGGATGATTTCGCATTGTGATTTTTGCGTACCTCTAGCTCAGCTCAAAGCCCCGTCAGGCACTTCTTGTCCATATCCTCTCCTTGCAGCTGTTAGGCACGATTTCCAATCACCCGAATTTTCGGACTGTTTACGTTCCGCATTTGCTT